TGAAGTGAAAGCCATTCCACTATCTCTTCCACGAAACCCTGGAAATTCACAAATAATAAAGTTAAACGAATCTGTAAAGAGCCATGATCGCCCATGTCTAAAAGGCATATGGCATTTAAAAAAAAGCATTTTTGCTTATACGTTTCATAATTAGATTCCTGTTTAGAAAGGATTGTGTATGTGTACGTGTGTGTGTGTGTGTAAAACGTTGGTGGAACTAACGGACAACTTGAGAAAATATCCTTAAACAAGAGAAAATCTAGAACAATGACAGCAATAAGAAAAAAAGACCTAAACACAAATACCTACCTACTAAAATAAAAAAGTAAAATAAAGCCCTTAACGCGCCTAGATTAATTAGACAAAGCAAAACAAACGTAATTCCTATGAAAAAAATGGCTCTAGTCGTAACCCGAATTTCGTTGAATAAGGCAGACAAAGAAAATCTGTTCTTATTTATTTCTACCAACATTCTTATATTTTTCCGTTTTGTGGAGTAAGCGAGTGGAAAAATTGTATGTATTGTCCATTGTCTCAATCGCTTTCGTCAGATTTTCCTTCTCTATCATATTCAACGAAAGGTTGCTGCCCAAATATACATATATATATATATATATATATATATATATATATATATATATATATATATATATACATATATATATCACAAAGATTATCGCCTTCTGTTTAAAGGCCTTTGGTTATGAGAAACCATTTATATATTTGTTTGTTCCTCCCAGTCAGTCAGGTGCATTTACCTCACCGTCGTTGATGATTGGTTTCATTGAAAGTAAAGAAAGTTCGACGAGTGTTCCACTAAAGAAAATCTACAATTCGATGTATTTCCATTTAAATTATAAGATATCTCTTCCTACTTTAGAATAAAATGAATTGATTGATTATTGGAGACATTCAATTATACCGAAGTTTTTAAATAAGACACTCAATATTTGCAACTTGTTCGAAAGTTTGTTTAGAGCAACATCACTAGCTAAAGAATGAAAGAATTGATAAAGTCCACTTGTCTAAAACGAAGTCGTGATTTTAGCTTTAAATTATTGGCATAATGGAAATTCTTATAAACATTTCATTTGAAACAAAATGCTGATTTGACAGATTGTCATGAAATGAAGTTTACATTCGTTATGTCGTCTTGGGTAAAGTTTTCATTGTTTCATCTTTTCTAAAAACATTTTTAGAATAAACAATGTTTAATACATTTTATATGACAAGCAGATGATGCCACGTTTTAATTTTTCTGGTATTGTTCGTAGACAGACAAAGCACTCAAGAGTGTACAAACTTATAGATATATGCGTATGTGTGTGCATTTGATTACATAATCTATGTACGTCATTCTGTATGCGTATTAAGATAGAATACTGATTTAATTAATATATCATATTGTTATGCGACAGCATGTTATGATTTGCTATGGCAAACGAACATTTAGTATTCCTTTTTACATCTTTTGTTGGCTCATTAAGCACTGAAGCCGCTCAATCCATCTATTGTGTGCAGCGTACACCGGGGATATAGAGCATCGCCTTTGGATCGAGGAAGAAATGAACTCCGTCACCCGGTCAGATATGTCACGTTTATTGCTTTTTATAGCAGACCTACAAAAAGTATATTTATTGTTCCAGATTGAGTACAGGAACGTGTTTTGGTAGCTGGCCTACTTCCATGATATAAGTTACCTGATAGCTGTTCTGGCACTGTCGATTGTTTTAGGTTGAAACCAAAGGATATGACGATCCTTTTATCACTACGGAGCGGTTCAGATCCTCTTTAGAACCTAGATATTTGAAACAGAAAAGGCCGTGTAAGACAACAGTCCTCTTTAAATATATGAGTCTTTGTAGTTCTCCACTGCCTTAACCGAACATTGAACTCACACAATTTGGGTCCTGTCACTGCATCTAAACAAGGAAACATGGCATAGTGGATAAAGGCGTTGGTTAGATCCAGTGACAGGACCCAAAGAGTGTACGTTCAATAATCGGTTAAGGCAGTGGAGAAATTGAAGAGGGGAATTAACAGGAGATAACAGATAACTGACATCTATTAAACATGGCACGTGGAACTAGAACCGACTACCCCAGTGAGCGAAATAAAGGGTTCAGTTCGACATTTCAACCACCTGAAGAAGGCCGGAGCGTACAACGGCCGAAACGTTGTAATAAATATGTGGACAAAGATGAAGACAATAGTCCGAATAATGTAAATAGTGTACATAATAATTCATTTTAGAAATATAGACAGATACTGATATATATATATATATATATATATATATATATATATATATCAGTGTCTGTATGAGTATATATACTTCATATTGTAATAATATATATATATATATATATATATATATATATATATATATATATATATATCAGACGGTGCTCAAATGCTCCGTTCTATATACTGAACATTCTTACTCCATAATGATACCAAATTCTAAAAACTTAATTATATGACCTTGTTACAAGTCCCTACTTCGACACACATTTAACCTGAAGTCCAAAAAATATGAACATTTGTACAATGGTTAGTTTCGCCCTTTCCCACTTGTAGAAATGAACTGTGTTAATTATTAATTGCGTGACGTAATAGGTATAGGGGTAGTGAAGTTGGGCAAGGTAGCAGGGTTGCTATGGCAGCCTTGGAATTCAGAGAAGATTTAATATAGTCTGAAGCCAGAGAGATTGGCTATCTATCTCTGAAGTGGCATTTTTTAGTTATCGGTCAACAGTAGGAAGAGCTTACCAAGAATATGTGAATTCTGGAGAGACTTCAGTCGCACAGTGCATTGTCTGCAGATAAACAGTACTACATGTGAATGACAATGATAATAGCAGTTTAACGAAGTGAAACATTGCATCCAATCCCATTGACATTCAACACTCATACCGCTTAACCCGTTTGTTTTGTACAGCCTACACTTCAGATAGAGCGTGTATCGTCTTCTGGTTGAGAAGAGTACGCACTTTCTCACCCGTTCAGACATATCACGATTACTGATTTTTTTTCCGCGCAAACGGTTGAATATTTGTAAAGGAAATACATTAAGGCTATGAATCTAAGTTGTCAGTAGGATGTGTTGAAGGCTGATGGTGTCAACTCATATATGGACAATCCTAGATAAACATAACCACAGAATAAATTTGAACTTCCATTCTACGTAAAGTAGCCTCTATTATTCGGACGAAGGGAGAAATTACACGCGCTATTCGGTAGCTTTACCGAATTATTGGTACTTCAGTTTATAAATTATATGTCCGTCCGTCTGATTATATAATTCATATTTAAGCACAGAATGTTCTGATATGAGGCCAAAATGAGGCAATTCTCAGTAAGAAGAGTGTGTTGCACCAGAGTTCTGTTCGAGATACAGTGTGTACCAAATACGACAAATGCCTGTAGAATGATGGATAGTAGAAAGGCAGAAACATTCAGTCATCCAAAGACCATAAAAGTTCAGGGAGATCAATTTATAAGAATCATCAATCCTAATCACATAAATTCAAAAACAGAATGAGTTGCTGAATTTGCATTAATCCTAACATGGTTTAGGGACCCTAAAAGGGGAGCCAAATATATATGGTATATTTTCAATTAAAAAAAATCAACGATTGTTATCCAAACACAAAGATATTTTAAAGAAAAAGGTTTCGTTTATTTGACCACATACAGCTTTTCATCATGATCACGTAACCACTGAAGGCCGTAGGGGTACCATAAGTACTACAGCCGAAGTACCTGGGGTGCTCCTTGCGGAAGTTAGAATGATGAAGCCCAATACGCTCCAGGTTAGTTAAGTTTTTCTTCTCCCCATAACAGTCGCCAATCATGGCTATAAGAACCAGTCTATTCCGCTATTAACTCATATCTGGGAAGGAGAAGTGATAGATTTATACCTTTCTCGTAGGTATTATCACTGAAGTGAATGTAATTAAATCGACTTGAATTCGAACACAGCTATCTGGTTCCTCAATCCAAGCCTTCATCTATTTAAATCGTAGACAGTTTTAATAACCTAAATTTCTCAACGACTTTACATATTCATCTAATTCAGGTGGAGAAATGGTGATATCTGTACTCTAAAGTCAATACTTACCAAAGAATCCCGTAATCTTGCAATTTGACTAAGCTGAGTAAATGTTCAATTCATTGAACTCATTTTTCATCTGACTGATTACATTATTCTACCTTGAAATAGGTCTCCGATAATTTGTTTTTTTCTGAAGCCATTGCTGTATACTATCGTTTGATAAGTATGTTCCGATCCATTTCTTTACACTTCCTTAAAATACGTAACACGCATGAAATCACTTTGCAAGTATCTGTTTCGCGTGTTGGTTAGAAATTTAGCAGCCAGAGCTTATAAAAACGAATAGACCATGAGAAAAGAAAGCATCCACGTGTAACACGTCGAACAGACGAACTCAAGGGAATAAATAAAAGATTCCGATATTAGAACCATCACAGCACTTTGTCTTGACTTCATTCTTTCTCTTTCTTTGTGCGTTTGGACTAAATACAATCGTCCTTTTCTTGATGTCAATTCTGGCCTTGTATTAAAGAGCTCTGAGCTGGAAATGAGATAATAGAACTTTTAGAGAAGTAATTTATCAAAAGCCAACAGCCATAACGCTATTTTCAAAGGCGCCTTTACAGAAGAGCGTAGCATCTGAACGCTTTCTAATGTCATCCATTAACAGGACCTTTGAGGTTCCTTACTCGAACGATTACTGCGTAATCTTACTTTTTTCTAACTCACAGATATGAAGGGTTCCACTGAGACGAACAAGCTCAAAGATACCCAGTTGGAACAACAATCCCAGTGAAACTATTGTTGGGCATAATTTGATTATAAAATCTTAACAAAGGATGATTAAAGATATAGATTTTATCTTGAATCTACTCACTGATGACTGCGAACTATACACGGCTTTATCTAACTCGGGGTTGTTTGAAGATGAATCTATCAAATATTAATTCGAAGTAGATAGATAGATAGATAGATAGATAGATAGATAGATAGATAGATAGATAGATAGATGTGAGCATGTATTTACAGTGCCGTGCAAAAGTCTACTTTCCATGGAAGAAGGAACACAAAACTGAATAATATTCAAAATTCTTTCTTAAACGCATAATGTATGATAAAACACATTGTATACAAAACAAAGATAATAGGTTGTCTATAGCTCTGAGATGAGGTATTGTAACAATTTATACCATTTACATCGTTCGGACTGTTTTTCTCGTCTTTATTACCATATTCACGACGTTTCGGCCGTTGTACGCCCCGGCTTTCTTCAGATAATGTACGTTGGAATTTCGAACCCGCTTTTATTTATTTCACTGGGGCAGATCGTTCTAATTCCATGTTCGATGCTTTTGTTGGATATCTCAGTTTCAGTTAATTCCCTTTGGTAGCCCAACTCTCCAAGTTTGTTGTTCCGTCTGCTGTGGCTAGGCGTTGAACTCACAATACATAGCCTAGTGGATAAAACCGTTGGTTGAATTAACCCATAAGTGACTTGACCCAAAGAGTCAACACGAATCGCTATTTGCATTTTGGGCTAACACAATTTTCAATATCTGTGTTTCGTAATTTCTAGATAGTAAGCATTGGTCATGTGCAGCAAGAATAAATCCTTCGATTTCAGCTTTTAACCCCGCACTACATAACCACTGATGAGTACGGGGTTTGTCTACATCCAATTATTTGGTACGGGCATCGTTTCTGCATTTGGTAAATTGCATTTGTTTTTACTTTCTTCTTTAGGTTCTTTGCTGCTGTAGTAGACATATTATGGTTTAATTGCACTTCTTCACCCACTTGAAATTCCCTTTTGAATTTGTTGGCTTCCTTTCTTACTGAATAAAGCTAAAGAACGATTGTTCTGGTTTTGTAAGATAGTTCTAGTTGAACTAATCCTCTTCCAACTTTGGATCTGGTTACATCCAGACAATTAACATCAGGCTTAGGATAAAGAATGCGGTGGAAAATGAGAACTTTTCTCGTTTTGACATTCATTCGCTTAATGTTATTTATGGTCCAATTAAGGATGTTGAAACTATATTGAACCACAGGCTCAGCCAAAGCGTTTATGGCTTATATTATGTTTTATGAATTCAACTCAGTATTTATTACCAAAAGCACACGCCTGTAGTATTCTTTTCTTCTTTTGCCATTCATTTCGGTTTGCAGTATTCCATCTCTTTCGCTAATTCCTAGGTATATGTAGGCTTTTTCTTGTTCCAGTTCACTAATCTTTGTGACAAAACAATCTGGATCTATTGAGTGTGTTACTATAATTCTTTCTTTCTTGAATATTACTTTTGCTCATTTATCAAATCCCAAAACTCTTACAGATGTCACCACTAAAACATTTTACACTATTGAGGATACCCTTCAATTCATTGTCGTCTTTGGCAAAGAGTTTTATATCATCGATGCATAATAAGGGATTAAATACTTTCTTTTTTCTTTGTATCCATAGTTATTACTGTTTAGTCCATGCGAATGGGGGATTAAGTAAAAACAGAACAAAAAGGACGACAGGGTGTGTCTCCGTGAACGATTCTACGTCGGATGTTCAAACAATTGAAAGTAGCAGTACCTTTGTTGTGATTTAGGTATAATGTGGTTTTCCACAGTTTCATGATATATTTAAGGAAATATACTGTCACTGAGGAGACTTTGTATATTTCCAATGCCTTAAGAATCCAAGAATTATTATTATTAATAATAATAATAATAATAATAATACAAACAGTAGAAATTTATTCAAATAAAGAAAGTAACATTGTTTGCTGAATTGTGTTATTATTAATGAAAAACATTAGAGAATTTATTTTAGATGAAAATAATAAATTGCTTAATTATTTTTATTATTAAAAGCATTACAGAATTATTTAAAAGATACGATATTTTAATTCCATCTTAAGAAGTAAATAAAATAAATAATCTTTTCATATTTCATGAAAGAAAAAATTAATACTTTTTTCAAAATAGCTCAACTATTTCTCCAAGAATGTGCATCAATTTTCTCCTTCTAGATTCCCATGTGGCTAATGGCTATTGAAATTGAGATATATTCTTAAATTCATCAATATAGTTATTTATGCTGTTATTGCTTCTGGAACCTAGAAAGGTAAAACTTTATTAATGCCAAAATAATCATGTCACCACGTTTTACGATTCCATAGGGAAAGGCTTCCTGTCAAACTATCCGTTGGTATTAATTCACAAATCTCAAGCCAAACCTTTCCAAAGTTTGATCCTCAAGTAAAATGATCGTTTCTCTTATAGTCAGCTGTCTATAGTTTTGTTCGAAGAAGGAAATTCATTTGGTCATAACATAATAGTAAAAGGTATTTTAGAAAATTGACCTTCTACTTTAAATAGAAATTTTATACAGGTAAGATAACTTCTATTACAACTTACTTCACCTTTTGGGCACCTCGAGGCAGTGTAATTGTTAGCAAGCTTGTCTCTCTAGAACAATTACGACTGAGTAGTGAGTTCGATTCTCACTGGGTGCTCCTACTTTTGGCCTTGTTCCACATCTAAGCTATGCTTGCAAAATTACTGCAACTTACTTTGTTCGTATGACATTTATTCGGTTAGTTAATGAGATTTGGCTAATGACAGACACTTGTAAAACCTGCTGCTACCTTAAAAAAACAGCGATATATATAAAAAAAGGCATTTATATTAAAATGGTGTCATTCCATCAAACATCTCTAACAGAGGCGCGTATGGTCAGTTGTGCTCTTTTTGACAATTTCAAAACAAATCGAGACAGCCTGCAGTTGCAAGATTAGCGTGCCAGACTAAAGCACCACCACGCGAAGACGACCACAACCTTCCGTCAACGAGTGATGGAGAAGACGGCTCGAGCATCATCCCGAAGCATGGAGACAACCACCGTCTGCATTTATCGTGTGTCAATCAGCCGCTAGTGAATAGAGATTATGTCTACGGTTTTGCCGCGCCTGGGTGAGAGACGAGCACCGCCAATACTAGTACTGCGGAGACAGCCAACGAGCAGTGACAAGCAGCAGGTGCAAATCACCTCCACCCTCAAATTTTCTTAATTTGTAGTTGACAATCTAGTTTTATGTTAATAAGATATAGATCTTTAATCTTTGCATATATTTGTCAAACTTACCTGCAAAATTGTGGTCAGCCTGTACAACACATTACGTGTCAGTCGTTCTTGAATTAGCAACATTATCGGAATTTGACGAACAGAAAGCAGCTTCTTGAGATACAATCACAATTGAAAAGGAGAAGCTGCCAAAGTAAAATTTTATTATTATTATTCATTTCACTTGCAAGCAGGAGAATAAATGCCGCTACAATTCAAGGTTTACTGACGGTGAATGAAGATAAAAAGATATTAGTGAGGAAAAAGGACAATAAAAGAACAGGTTTTAGAAAAAAGGAACATGGTCACTGGTGTTGCATTGAAATTTTTAAATATCGCATTTAGGAGAGAAACAAGAAATTGTCAGAGGTGAGAAGTGCGAGAAAAAAGGTATTAGAATAGATCTTATGGTTGCATCTAGATATTTCCACAGTAAAATGATAAAACCAAGTTGCCAATCTAGTAGTACGCTTAAATTCATACTATGGTCTAAGGATGAAAGCTCATTAGAACAATTCTTATTAAAATATTTATAGAAAGAGAGAGGGAAGTCACATCACGAGATTTAGAAATTGATTGAAGTTGAGATGTCAGTTTAGGACTGATAATACTACAGACCAATCTGTAGTTTTTATCGAGAATCTCGTGACATATGGCAAGAGGATGAGACCAGATATGGTAGCAATATTCAACTCAGGGACGAATGGTTTATTTATAAACATGTCGGATGGATTCTAAAGAGAAAAATTGTCTAGAATCGAAAACCCAAACCTAAACAGGAAGCAAGACATAAATTCCTATTCGAAATATGATAAATGAATTTAAACGGAATATATTCGAACCTCTCTACTCCTTTTTAAAAATAAAATAGTAAATTAAGTGTAAAAAGGGAATACAGGAGTGAGACTAGAGTTAAGCTAAGAGCATGTTGGGTTCGAGTGCGTGTGTTTTGACAAAGTTGGGGAATGGCCGAAACATAAATGACTTCTAATTTAGTATAAATTGCCGACACCTAATTTATTTCAACACTTTATCTTTGTATGAAGAGAAAAAAATTAAATAACTTAAAGAAACAGAAGCAGCAAACACGTACCCATGTGCAGAGAAAGATTCTGGTTGGCCAAATTGGTTTTGCTCAAGAGGAAATGTGTAGAGAAAGATTCTGGTTGGCCAAATTGGTGTTGCTCAAGAGGAAATGTGTAGAGAAAGATTCTGGTTGGCCAAATTGGTTTTGCTCAAGAGCAAATGTGTAGAGAAAGATTCTGGTTGGCCAAATTGATGTTGCTCAAGAGGAAATGTGTAGAAAAAGATTCTGGTTGTCCAAATTGGTGTTGCTCAAGAGGAAATGTCTTTCAAATATTATAGCCAAGATTCCTTTGTCCCAGAACAGATGGCTTGTGATGGGTGTGGATGACTTCGAACAGAAAAAAAAGAAAGAATATATATATTTGCTTGTTCCCATACAGGCCTGTCGCTAAATTTTGCTTTAAATTAGATACTTAAAAAATACGTATCAATAATATATATATATATATATATATATATATATATATATATGAAGATAATCAAATGTATAAATATAGATAAATGTACGAGCAAGCGCTCCTATACAAGTACATATATATACTCTATAGTGTAAGAAAAATCAGTGCTTATTTGTAAATTAGTTGGTACTAAGAAGGATTTTTTATATTCCGAATTTATTAGATCTGAGACTAAATAAAAATGTCGCTGTTTATTTCGTAACTTCTCCAGAGGAGAAAGAGACATTTTTTGAGAAGTTGATTTGAAGAAGTTTTTCACTCAGTGAAGTTGGCATATGTTGCTGACATCAATTCAAGATTTTTAAATCCAGCTATAGATGGCTGAATTTTCACAAAGAACGAGTCTATAGATATGTTTTTCCTTTCGAAACAACGTTGAATATATCCTGCATCGAAACCAACAATACAGACAACATGGCTACCAAAGGTAGACACCAGAGAGAAGGCAAAATCACCAGTAAATTAAGTCAACCTCCACGGGGTCGCTGAATATTGCGAAGAGAGTTTCCTGCAGTAAAAAAGTTTGAATACCTTTTTATCCTTCAGCTATCCGGAGAAAAAAACTGAAAATTGTGTATTTCAACATTTCGGAAATAACTCTTATGAACTTGATTCAGTTTCTTTGTCGACATTTGAATTGTGAATTCTAAAGAAAAAAAAATATAATACGCGTGTAAATATCGCAATCGTAGCGTCTAATACGACCGTTGCGTATTGATAATTTAGTTTCTTCTTGAAAAAAAAGTGACCATATTTTTTTAATTTTCTGCCCTGCAAACACCTTTTTAATCTTTTTATTTGTTAACTTTTTTAAAATTGCTTATAGACTTATATGTATTTCGCCATCCTTTATTTTAATAAATCTTTGGCATTGTGAATATTTGTTCGTTTTTGTCTCAGACATCATTCTTTTCTTTTTCCTATGGTAACAAATTTTTTATTTAGCATTTTTCCTCAAAACGCAAATCAAATGGAAAGTCATCAATTTAAAACGTTTAGTTTCTTTTGTAGCACTTCTCGATTGTGGAGCACACGCCTGGTTATTTAAATATAATGCCAATCTACTTGATCACGCTTCATCTATTGTTCTCGTTCTATAATAACGTTTCTCTTCTTTCAGTAACCCCTTGCGTCTTAGTGGCTTTACTACCTTGCATGGGGTGAAATGGTTTTTAAAATGTAGGCTACTCTCAAAGACAAATTACCAAGTTGCCAAGTTGAAGATTTCTAGAGATGGGGTGCAATATTCATTACAAAGGCAGTTAGAAACTGGTGCAAATGTTGAAATAAAATAAGCTGGAGAAGCAATAGTGCCAACTGCTGCTGAAAATAAACACTTGATTATTGAAAGCAAAAGAAAAAAAAAGGAAAACTTCTCCAGAGTTGGCAGATGAACTTAATTCCTCTACCAATGTCGCTCGCGACATTGAAAAATTGGCTACCAGCAGTGGGGGGGGACATGTAACTGCATGGGCGTTTTTTTTTTTTTTGGTGAGGACACTGAAGTTTTGATTCAGGCCAAAGGGATCATGAAAAAAGAACAGTATCATTTTGCAAAGATATGATATGTCATTTCGTTTACGTATAAATAGGGAAAATTTCACCTTTCAACAAGGCAACAATTCAAAACACTATTCTAAATTATGTAAAAGTTGTATGTATGATTTGACTGTCTCAATCTACTGATCTCTTTTCCATTGACTTAGACCAGGATGAAATGAATAGGAAATTTCAAAGAGAATATCCAAAGAGCGAAAGGGAGATTTTTCAGTTCTTAAAGTATACTTAGGAAGGCCTGCCATCTACTTTTTTTTTTGAAAACCTATTGGAAATAATACCAATAATTTATAAAGCAGTAATTAATCAGGTGGTGGTTTTATTGATGAAAACAAAAGATGATGCTGTTGCAAGATAATTTGATACTTATGTGCTTATTTTTCAAAATAACAGTAAATAAACTGTGGTGACAGAAATTTTATCTTTTTCATTAAAAATTACAAAACTAATTCATAAGTTGTTTTTAAATAATTAGCAGGTGGTCTCGAACGTTTTGCCTATAGTGTATATCAAGTATATTTCGGCAACAGATTTTTCTTTAATATTATTTATTTAAAAAAAAACGATCGAAAGTATTTTTAGTTTTTTCTCCGTTTTTGATGACGTGTTTGGCATCAAGCTCGAGGCTATGAATTCTAAGAGAATTTAGCTATAATATGCCATTTTGAAATACATATTTGTTTAGTTAAAATAACGTTTAAGAATTGTAAATTTCTGTCTGCGTTATTATGTACAAGATTCAGTTTCACGTCGGTCATGTGACAGTTTTTTATATTTTATTCATTTCTTTATTTTTTTTAATTATTATTTTTAAATTATTTACTATTATTTAATAAGTTTCTTCTAAATTGCAGGAAATGTTATTCAATTTTTGTTTCTCGTATCTTGTGTTTTTTTAGTTGTGTTGTTTTGTTATGTACCCTTTAATATTTACAACCTCTGATCAAACTTATGGAATGATATTCCATAATTTGACTTCTACTGACTCTGACAGGAATATGCTATTAATTTGAATAATTCATTATAATTTTTATATTTCCAGAAAACAAAAAGTTTCAGCTCTTAAAAAAAGATTTTCTGTTATGTTTGTGGTTTCATGATTTCTCGTGAAGTACAAAAGCTAAGTGAGTATCTTGTAAATGAAGTAATTCAATAATTTTGCCAGAGGTGACATTTAATGTATTCACGAATCTTATCAATTAACAGCATGATGGACATCGTTACAAGACATTAAACAGGTCACACGTAAAAATAGCATACACATATATTTTAAGTCATGTGTGTGAACGTGAACTTTTAATAACGTCAAATCTAGCTTCTTTCTGCAAGTTTAGTAAATATAGACACTAAGAAGACAGGAGAAACATCGAGTGATTTATTTATTCATTTGGTTGATTTTTTAAGGCTTATAAACCTTATGCGGGTTATTTAAAATCAAAACACACTATTGGATTGTAAAAATAATTTTTTGGGGGAGGATGGATATTGCATAAACTACTTTTTGAGAATAGAAATGATTTTCAATGTGCAAATCAGCTATTTAACCCATAGTTGGGGAAAGGAAATTAATTCTAGAACAAAAAATGTATCTATATTGAAATAGCTATGTAAATATATATAGATGCGTGGAGCATGAGATATAGATATATACATACTTACATACATACATATTAATCGAGGTAAATAGATACATACATACATACATACTTATTGAGTGAGATAGATAGGTAGCTAGATACGTATATACATATATACATACATATATGCACACTTACATACATACGTATCGAGTGAGACTAATATAAACAGACTGAGATAGATAAATAGATAAATAGATAGATTGATATATATAAAAGACTTAAATAGATAGATGCATACATACATAAGTATCGAGTGAGATAGATAGATAGATAGATAGATAGATAGATAGATAGATAGAAAGCGTTGTAATTTATCACTCCTCCTGACCCCAAAAAGACAGATAAGAACGTAAGAGTATAATGGTTTAAAGAATGTAATGCCACTCACATGTTCACTTACCTGCATGACCAGTGAATGACCTGCGTTGGTTGTTGAGTTAGGCTCTATTAATTATGCAAATATGTAATTAGTTAGACACTCAATTTCCTTCAATCACATAATGTTAGCAAATATGAGTGATAATACTTTCTTTGATTAATCCATTTTTGCATTGCCAAAACACCTGCACAGGACTGATAGATAATCTGAATTGACCAGTATATTTCCAGAGGCTGATATGAACTGACCTGCACAGGCTTGATATCTGATCTGAATTGACATTCGTAGAACAAAAAGCTCCTCTGAATTGAATTGATCTATGGAGGACGGACAGGAGTGCACCGGATTGACAGTTGATCTGGTTTGACATTCGTGGGTAAAAAAGCTCGTCTGAATTGATCTGTGCAGGAACGAGTGTTGATCTGGACTGAACTGCAAAGAACTGACATCTGATCTGGATTGACATTCGAAGATGAAAAAGCTTGTTGATCTGGACTGAACTGCAAAGAACTGACATCTGATCTGGATTACCATTCGAAGGTGAAAAAGCTTGTTGATCTGGACTGAACTGCACAGAACTGACATCTGATTTGGATTACCATTCGAAGGTGAAAAAGCTTGTTGAAATTACAGCTGACCTGAATAAATCTGTGCATGACCTACAGCTTTAATTTTGACGTTTCGTCGTAAAATACAAAATGAGTGTAGCATCAATATATCGTAGTAATTGAAATTCAAATCTTTTTCCGGAGTTGGGAATAGAGATGTGCCATTCTATCAAATCACCTTAATTATTATTCAGGTCGTCTAATTTGGGATCTGGAGGCAACCCAATGATATTTTTCTAAATTCTAACACCAAATGCTACAGATGGAGAGCTGTCCATTCTTATGATTGCGGAGAGGCAAACCACTACTTTCATTTAAGATACTGGCTTAAAATTGAAAAACATAAAGTTTGATTGTCTACAATTAAGAGAAATGTAAATGAATCTATTCTAAAACATCTGTCTATATCTCTGAGATAAGGGATTATGATTACTTACATTATTTACATTATTCCGACTGTTATATTCCGACTGTTATCCTCATCTTCACTGTCATATTCAAAACGTTTCAGTCGTTGTAGACCTCGGCCTTTTTCAGGTGATTGGAATTTCGAGCCGAACCCTTTATTTAGTTCTAGTTCCACGTGCCATGTCTCTTCCGGATTTCTCACTTATTTCCCTTTAACTCAACTCTCCAAGTTGTCCTCAAAGACACATGACCCAGTCAATAAAGGTGTTGGTTAGATCCAGTGACTAGACAAAAAGTTGTGAGTTCAGTACCAGAACCTGTACGAAAAAGAAGGGTTCAGTTTGAAATTTCAGTCACCTGAAGATGGCCGGAGCGTACAATGACCAAAACGTTGTGAATATAACAATAAATGTGAGGATAACAGTTCGAATAATGTAAATATTCCAAAATCATTCAATTCAACACTAAATCTGAGGTACCAAATGTATTCTATATTTATGCTAAGTTTTGACTTAGTTTTTAAGTGGAACTGTCAATATTAAATAATCATTACATTGTAGCCGTTTAATGTAACAGGCTTTGATGTATCTTCTCAGCCAGTTGATGAAAATGGATTTTCTTTTTTTCTTTCTATTTCTAGAAACATCCATGTTGTAAATAAGACTTTGACCGCTTTGAACTTAGTTTCCTTCCAAGAGAATTTTCCAGGAAGAAGAAGACTAAAACAAATCTCCTGGCATTTGAGATAAAAAGACGATTTACGAAAAGCAACTGACGCATCTCAGAGCAACCAACTACGCTAACACAAAAGACTTTAAGCCTTTAAACCGAGATCTAATTCAAAGTATTTTATTTGCTCTAGATGCGAATCAATGCATCTAAATTGCATGCCTTGTAGCCAGTTTTGAAATGTTGCGTATTTCCTGTTTCTGCTGACGGTTGCACAGTTAAATCGATTATTTTTACCAACGTAAACAAAAAGAAAGAGAACAAAGAAAATGAGCAGAAACAAGAGAGTTTCTTGGTGATATTTGCTTTTCTGTTGTACTTTCAAATGTCGACAGCTAAATTTCTTCTTCTAAACTTACAAATTCCGACTGCAAAAATTCTGCATCTACAATTCTACTTAAAAATTTCGACTGCTTAATAACTAATTCTAACCTTTTAAAGTTCTAGTTTCAAATTCCGACACCTAAACTTCTACTTTTAAATTCAAATTTCAAATTTTGACTGTTAAGTTTCTAATTGTAAAGTCATGGAGTTTGCTTGTAAATTACGATTATTACATTCTACTTCTCAATATCTAAAGTTCTACTTCCAAATTTCGATTGCAAACGTCGACTGCGAATCTTTTAATCTTAAATTTCTAATGATCTACTTCCAGATTTTGACTACTAACCTTCTACTTCTAAACGACTAAAGTTCTACTTCCAACTTTCGACTGTCAAACCACAATATGCAAACATTTAAAGTTCAACTTCATAATTTCGACAGTGAAACATCTACTTCAAAATTTCTAAAGTTCTACTTCCAAATTTAAACTGCTAATCTTCTCTAAACATCTAATGATTTACTTCCAAATTTTAACAGCTAAACTCCTGCTTTTAAAGTTTTACTTACAAGTTTCGACTGATATACTTCTACCTCTAAACTTTTAAAGTTCGATTTCCAAATTTCGACTGGTAAACTTTTATTTCTAAACTTCTAAAATTCTACATCAAAATTCTGACTGCTAAGCATCTCAAGAAGTCTTCATTATGATGGGAGACCTAAACGCCAAAATAGGCAAGGAGAGGGCAGGGGATATAGAAGGAAGATTCGGACTGGCAACCCACAACGAACGTGGAGAAAACGGGATCCAATGATGCACAGTTAATGACCAGGTAATAGCCAACACAAGATTCCAAGAACATCCGAATCGATTATTGACATAGAGGAGCCTAGAAAGAAAAAATAAAAACCAGATTGACTACATATCTATCAACAAAACATTCAGGAGTGCAATGATTCATTGCAAAAGCTTCCGAAACGCCGACTGTGGAAGCAATCATCGTCCTGTTATATGTAAACTAAGAGTGAAACTGCGGAAATTGAAGAAACCTAACGCAGCACACAAACTGCAATACAACAAACTCCTGAGCGACCCGAACCTGAAAGAAAAATATGTGGAGAATGTTAAAAAGACGCACTAAGAGACGCTTTAGTGACATCAGCAAACGATATCAACGCAGAGAAGGGACGAAGAAGAAAAAACAAATGGATGATTGATGAGGTTCTCGATATGATGCAAAGGAAACCGAAAACTCTGTCAAGATACGGAACAGAATAGAGAAAATTACACAATGAAATAAGGACTAAATGCAGGCAAGCTAAAGAGTGGCTGAACAAAAAATGTGCAGAAATAGAGAGATTGAGTACCACCAACAAAGGAGATATGCACAAACAAATAAGCAACAAACAAGCAACAAACAAATAAGCAACTAACAGAACCATAGACATTCTCATCAACAGGCTGTTTAAAATCAAAGGATGGGACGCTCATATTAGAGAAGGGAATATTCTTCAACGCTGGAAGGAATATTGAAGAACTCTTCCACGATGAAAGAAAACAACGCGCAATACAAGGAACTACCGACGGAACTGATACTCTGAAAACCGAAGTAGAAGCCGCACTGGCCAAAATGAACAGAAACAAGGCGGCAGGGCCAGACGGAATTATAACGGAAATGCTAACAGCCTTACATGACTTTAGCCTAGACAAGATCACAGAAATAATAAATGAAATCTACAACAGTGGGTATATACCGGAAGATCTCAGAAGATATATCTTCATAGCAATGCCTAAGAAAGCAGGCGCAAACGAATGTGAACTCCACCGAACAATCAGCCTAATGTGCCACATAACAAAATTCACCATCCGTATTCTGATGAACAGAGCACGCAGCAGAACCAGGCCAGGGATAGGGCAAGAACAGTGAGGGTTCATTAAAGACACCGGAACAAGGAACGCAATATTTATGCTCAGAATATTATCAGAAAGAGCAATACAAATGAAGAAGGACGTATACCTAAGTTTCATAGACTACGCAAAGGCTTTCGACAAAATATGCCACAAGAATCTGATTGTACTGCTCCACAACGTGATATAGTCGGAAAAGATATTAGAATAACCAAGAACCTATACTTGCAGCAAACAGCATGCATGCGCATAGAGAACGAGTTCAGCGAATATACAAAAATAGAAAGAGTCGCATGCCAAAGATATATCTACTCGTCGGACCAATTCAACCAATACAGCTAGACAATTCTGAGAAAAATAAAAACATAAGATACGCAGACGACACAGTACTGATAGCAGACACAGAAAAGAAATTACAAAACCTCCTACAGAGGGTAGCGAATGAGAGCGAGAAGAAGGGACTAAGAATACAGAATGGATAGTCATCAGTAAAAGAATGAGCCCGAAATGTGACAAGCCGATGTCGAAGTTTAAATATCTGGGAAGTATTTTGACAGAAGACGGCAAGTGCGACACTGAGATCCGTAGAAGTATTGAGATAGCCAAAGAAGCATTCGGAAACCTGGGCAGAATAGTGCGAGACAGGTGAATCTCTTTGGTAACAGAGTACTAAGTTGTTATGTGATATCTGTCCTCCTTTATGGCAGCGAATGTTGGACGGTCTCCTCAAAGATGAAGAAGAGACTCGAGGCGACGGAGAAGTTGTTCTACAGACGTGTGCTGAGGATATCATGGACTGAGTGTGTGAGCAACGATGAGGTCTTGGAGAGGATGCAAACAAGGAGACGGCTTATACTTAACATCAAGAAGAAGCAGCTAAAGTTTCTGGGACATGTAATGAGAAAGGAGGCCTGGAGAATTTGATACTCACAGGTCGAATAGAGGGAAAGAGAGACAACGGAAAGCAGCGCATGACATACCTGGCGGGCTTAAGCAAGTGGATGACAGAACGTGGTCTGGGGGACGTAGCAGAGGGACGAAACTATTTGAGAGTTACAGGGGATAGGGAAAAGTGGAGAACCATGATCGGCTACGTCCTGAAAAAATAAAAGAAGCATCTACTTCTAAAATTCAACTTCGAAATTTTGAGTTCTAAACTAATTCTCAACTTATAAATATCTAATTCAAAATGCTGACTGCGATAAGAACTCCCCCCTGATGGAAATTTTGGATGATAATTGAATTTAATAATTTGGGTTAGACCAAGATTAACCTCTGGGAATACGTTTCATCATGAGACGGAAATAGAGGTGGAGGCCCAGGTAGAATTTCAAGGAAGGCGGAGGAATCGCCTGCAGCCTTCGTGTGGTCATGGTGAGAGGCGCCTACACGAGATGGAAGAAGTTGGGCGGATTGATATTCTGTCAACACCGCTCTTTGGGGGAGAGATCTCCCCGAATTTGTCCAGGCAATCAATTTCATAAGAACAGACAACCAAAAGCTCTGTATAGATGTTGGGGCTGACCCAAGAATCCCCAACCACCAGATAACCCACGCCGGGTTTGCGCAAGACTCCATAAATACAGACAAGTGAAGCGATAGACAGTGAAGAAGGAACCAGACAGTTCGAGGTGCTGATTGCGAGAGAGGCGCGTTGCCAGATGGTAGAAGACCCGCTTTGCCAAATCCTACACAACTTCTTCAGGAAGAACTCCGGCCTTGCACCAGACTACCAATCACAACAGAATAGGCCCGAAGAAATCATAATGGAAGAAATCAGACTTCAGCCATGTGTCAGTTTACCGAGCGTAGCTAAACATAGTGTTACAAGGTATTAAGAAGATGCTGAAAATTTGCATGTTGCTTATTTAGTGAGTAGAACGTTCATTTCAAGAACATTTCATGCAAAATTGTTGTGTTACACAGTTGTCCCTTACTTTTGCTCCTTGTGGCAACATCTCGCCAAAGCTGCCGGATCAACGACGTTGGGTATACGACTCGCCATTCACTCGCCTTGTGATCTAAAACAAACTTTACGCAGGCATGGTGGGATTAAGGATCGGGACAACCAACTTCAAGGCTGACCGTGGGGATAGACTACGGATTTGCCCGGTGACTGTGGGCGGCATGTGACGTCATACTACTTTCATTATTCGATTTCTAATTTTGTACTTCAAAAGTTCTACTTACAAATCCGACTGTCAACTTCCCAACTTTTAAATTTCTACTTCCAAATTTCGACAGCAAATTATCTATTGGTAAAATTTTAAAGTTATAATTTCAAATATCAAAATTACTACTTCTAAATTTTGACAGCTAAATTCTGTTTCTAAAATTCTCCTTCCAGATTTCGACAGATAAATTTCTACTTTTAATCTTCTAAAGTCCTACTTCCACATATTGACTGCTGAAATTCTACTTCTAACCTTCTAGCTAAAGTTCTAGTTCCAAATTTCTTCTGCTAAACTTCTTTTTCAATAATTCTATTCCCAAATTTCAACTGCTAAACATGTAATTCTAAATTTCTAAATTTCTACTTACAATTATCGACTGCTAAACTTCTACTCCTAAACATATAAAGTTCTACTTCCAAATTGCCACTGCTAAACTACTACTTCTGAACATTTAAAGATCTACTTCCAAATGTCGACCACTGAATATCTACTTCCAAACTTCTAATGTTCTAATTCCAAATTTCAAGTCCTAAATTTCTCCTAAATTTTCTAAAGTTCTACTTCCGAACAACGACTGCTAGACAGCTACTTCTAATGTTCTACCTACAAATTTAGACTGCTAAATTTCTACATCTAAAGTTCTCATTTCAAATTTAGACTGCTAAATTTCTACTTCTAAGATTCTAATCACAAATATCGACAAGTTAATTTATACATCTAAATTTGAAAATTCTGCTCCCAAATTTCGACTGCTAAACTTCTGATTCAAAATTTCAAAATTTCTACTCCAAATTTCGACAGCTAAACATCTACTTCTAAGCTTTTAATGATCTACATCCAAACTGTGACTGCTAAACTACTTATGAACAATTTTCTACTGCTAAACACCTACTTCTAAATATCTAAAGTTCTACTTCCAAATTTCGAGTAATAAATTCTACTTCTAAACTTTTAAAATTCTATATCCATATTTCGACTGATAAACTTCTACAGATTCAATTCGACTGCTAAATTTCTACTTCTCATGTGCTCAAGATCGACTTCCAAATATCGACTTCTAATTTTCTAAATTCTAAACATCTATATTTCTACTTCCAAATTATGGCTTCTAAATTTTTAATCATGAACATTTAAATTCGAGTTCTACTTCAAAATTTCGATAGTTAAAATTTTAATTTTCTAATCGTCTAAATTTTCAGGTCCGAATTTCAACTTCTAACAATATAAAGTTTTACTTCCAAATTTGGTCTTATAAATTTCTACTTAATTTCGAATGTTCGACTTCCAGATTTTGACTGATAAACGTCATCTAGACTTCTAGTTTTCTAATATTACATTTCGATTACTAAATTTCTACATCGAAAAATCATATTCTACTTCCGATTTCGACAGTTAAACTTATACTTCTAAACATCTAAAGTTCTACTTTAAAATTTCCTAATTCAAATAATCTACTGAAAACTTTCGACAGCTAATATACTACTTCCAATGTTCTAAACTTCTTCTACATTTCTAAATGTCCCTTTCCATACGTCCACTGCTAAACATCTTCTAAATTTCTAAATGTCCCTTTCCATAAGTCCACAGCTAAACTTCTCCTTCTAAATTTCTAGATGTTCATATCCATATGTCCACTGCTAAACTTCTCTTTCTAAATTACTACATGTTCATTTCCATTCGTCAACAGCTAAACTTCTCCTTCAAAATTTCTAAATGTCCCTTTCAATACGTCCACAGCTAAACTTCTCCTTCAAAATTTCTAAATGTTCATTTCCATATGTCGACTGCTAAACTTCTACTTCTAAATTTCTAAATGTTCATTTCCATATGTCCACTGCTAAACATCTACTTCTAAATTTCTAAATGTTCATTACCATCCGTCCACTGCTAAACATCTCCTTTTAAATTTCTAGATGTTCATTTCCATAAGTCCACTACTAAACTTCTCCTTCTAAATTTCTAAATGTCCCTTTCCATATGTCCACTGCTAAACTTCTACTTCTAAATTTCTAAATGTCCCTTTCCATATGTGCATTGCTAAACTTCTACTTCAAAATTTCTAAATGTCCCTTTCCATATGTCCACTGCTAAACTTATCCTTCTAAATATGTAAATGTCATTTTCCATATGTCCACTGCTAAACTTCTCACTCTAAAATTCTCAATGTTCATATCCATATGCCCACTGCCAATACTCTCCTTCTACATTTCTAAATGTCCCTTTCCATATGTCCACTGCAAACTTTCCAACTTCAAAATATCTAAATGGTCATTTCCATATGTCCACTACTAGAGTTCTACATATATATTTCTAAATGTCCCATTCCATATGTCCATTGCTAAACTTCTTCTTCTAAATTTCTAAATGTCACTTTCCATATGTCCACTGCTAAACTTCAACTTCTAAATTTCTAAATGTCCCTTTCCATTTGTCCACGGCTAATATTCTACTTCTAAATTTCTAAATGTCCCTTTCCATATGTACACTGCAAAAATTTTCACATCAAAATAACTAAATGTCACTTTCCATATGTCCAGTGCTAAACTTCTACTTCTAAATTTCTAAAAGTTCATTTCCATATGTCCACTGCTAAATTCTAAACCTATATATCTAAATGTCCCATTTCATATGTCCACTGCTAAATTTATACTGCTAAATTTCTAAATGTCCCTTTCCATGTGTCCACTGCTAAAATTCTACTTCTAAATTTCTAAATGTCCCTTTCCATATGTCCACTACTAAACATCTACTTCTAAATTACTAAATGTTCATTTCCATATGTCCACTGCTAAACTTCTCCTTCTAAATTTCTAAATGTTCATTTCCATATGTCCACTGCTAAACTTCTACATATAAATTTCTAAATGCTCCGTTCCATATGTCCACTGCTAAAGTTATTCTTCTAAATTTCTAGATGTTCATTTCCATATGTCCACTGCTAAACATCTCCTTCTAAATTACTACATGTTCATTTCCATTCGTCAAGAGCTAAAATTCTCAATCAAAATTTCTAAATGTCCCTTTCAATACGTCCACAGCTAAACATCTCCTTCAAAATTTCTAAATGTTCATTTCCATACGTCCACTGCTAAACTTCTACTTCTAAATTTCTAAATGTTCATTTCCATATGTCGACTGCTAAACTTCTACTTCTAAATTTCTAAATGGTCATTTCCATATGTCGACTGCTAAACATCTCCTTCAAAATTTCTAAATGTCCATGTCCATAAGTCCACTGCTAAACTTCTACTTCTAAATTTCTAAATGTTCTTTTCCATATGTCCACTGCTAAACTTCTACTTCTAAATTTCTAAATGTTCATTTCCATTCGTCTACTGATAAAACTCTCCTTCTAAATTTCTAAATGTTCATTTCCATACGTCCACAGCTAAACATCTCCTTCTAAATTTCTAGATGTTCATTTCCATATGTCCACTGCTAAGTTTCTCCTACTAAATTACTAAATGTTCATTTCCATACGACCACTGCAAAATTTCTGCTTCTAAATTTCTAAATGTTCATTACCATCCGTCCACTGCTAAACATCCCCTTTTAAATTTCTAGATGTTCATTTCCATATGTCCACTGCTAAACTTCTGCGTGTAAATTCCTAAATGTTCATTTCCATACGACCACTGCAAAACTTCTACTTCTAAATTTCTAAAGGTTCATTACCATCCGTCCACTTCTAAACATCTTTTAAATTTCTAAATGTTCATTTTCATATGTACACTGCTAAATTTCTCCTTCTAAATTCCTAAACGTTCACTTCCAAACGACCACTGCTAAACTTCTACTATTAAATTTCTAAAAGTTGATTACCATGCGTCAAATGCTAAACATTTCCTTTTAAATTTCTAGATGTTTATTTCCATATGTCCACTGCTAAACTTCTCCTTCTAAATTCCTAAATGTTCATTTCCATGCGACCTGCTAAACTTCTAATTCGAAATTTCTAAATGTTCGTTACCATCTGTCCACTGCTAAACTTCTACTTCTAAATTTCTAAATGTCACTTTCCATATGTTCACTGCTAAACTTCTACTTCTAAATTTCTAAATGTTCATATCCATATGTCGACAGCTAAACTTCTACTTCTAAATTTCTAAATGTCCCTTTCCATTTATCCATGGCTAAACTTCTCCTTCTAAATATCTCAATGTTCATTTCCATATGTCCACTGCTAAACATCAAATTCTAAATTTCTAAATGTCCCTTTCCATATGTCCACTTCTAAACTTCTTCTTGTAAATTTCTAAATGTTCATTTCCATATGTCCACAGCTAAAATTCTACTTTTAATTTCTAGATGTCCCTTTCCATATGTCCACTGCTAAACTTCTCCTTCTAAATTTCTATATGTCCCTTTCCATTTATCCACTGGTAACCTTCTCCTTCTAAATATCTCAATGTTCATTTCCATATGTCCAATGCTAAACTTGTACTTCTAAATTTCTAAATGTTCATTACCATATGTCTACTGCTAAAATTCTTCTAAATTTCTAATTGTTCATTTCCATGTGTTCAATGATAAACTTCTTCTTCTAAATTTCTCAATGTTCATTTCCATATATCCACTGCTAAATTTCTACTTTTAATTTCTAAATGTCCCTTTCCATATGTCCATTGCAAAATTTCTTCTTCAAAATTACTCAATGTCCCTTTCCATAAGTCCACTGCTAAATTCTACTTCTAAATTTCTAAATGTACATTTTCATATGTCCACAGCTAAACTTCTACTTCTAAATTTCTCAATGTTCATTTCCATATGTCCACTGCTAAACTTCTTCTTCTAAATTTCTAAATGTCCTTTGCCATATGTCCACTGCTAAACTTCTCATTCTAAATTTCTACATGTTCATTACAATATGTCCACTGCTAAAATTATTCTTCTAAATTTCTAAATGTCCCATTCCATATGTCCACTGCTAAACTTCTACTTCTAAATTTCTAAAT